AACATGTAGAGAACCCTAAACAATAAAGATAACATATTGAGTCTTACTTCTCAAAACAAACAATATAGCATGCCATCCAAGATTCTTATAGCAAACAAGAAGGCATAACTCTAAATGTAATAAACTAGTAATGAAAATAAGCAATATGGAGATGTAAAGGAAATGTTAACAACTAGGGTGTTACACATAGTTGATTTTTCTAAGGAACTTGTGGCTCTCTCTTTTGTAGAATCTGTCCATGCAATTTTATTGTTCATGATGTGATAATGTATCTCAATTTTGAACCGCAGTTATCTCTATCCGCTTCCAAATTACTTGATCGTGACATTGTTTCCAAGGTAAGCTTTTCTTACTACTAAAACCATATGAGAACTGTATCTTCTTTGTGCAATGATTCTGTTGAATTATTTTTGTGGATACAGTTGTTTTTGGTATGGTTAATTTTTTTATTGCCATCTCATCATGGATTCATCACTTTTTGTACAAGATTGTCATCATGTTCGTGGCTGTCCTTATCATGATGCTAAGGATAAGCTCAGCTATTATTTATAACTTCTGCTGTTTTGGTTGATTCTCATTATATTGACCTTTGAGAAGCTAATATTAGGAGTCAAATGTGAAAGGTACTAAAAGATTGTTCAAAAGAAACCTAGACAAGAGCTCCTAATAGTTGAATCTCGTTTTTGAAGATTGATGTTTTCTACATCACCTAGTTGTTAGTCGGGAAGCTCACGGGATGTGGTAGTAAAAATGATATGGATTATTTAATTTAATTGAGTATATAATCTTTGATAGAGTGGAATGGCACCTGTTTGGGATGCAACCTAGTTTGGCTTGGTAATGATACCACGTAAGCCAATTAAGTAGGGATGCTAGTTTCTTTTGCTTATTAAGCAACACCAGGCTGTTTATTTTGATATGAATACAGTTTAGAAGAATGTATGACCCATTCTTGTTATTCTCCTTTTGGGGAATCAATAAAGAGCAGCTTTCACCTGGCGCATTGTGTCTTTCTCGTCCCTGTGACTGATATAAAGCTGTAATTGAAACCCTAGAAGCCATTATCTTCTTGTCCCAACTTTAAGCCAATTCACTCTTAACTAATATCTACTTTACTAACTGTTGTCTCTTTCTCTAGTTTCCTCACAACCATCTGTCATAATGTCACCGTATAATTATGTTTATCTTCTCAAATTCACTCTTTATCTCAATGCATGAATTTCAATACCAAAATCTGAACATATGCAATAAGTTTGAAACAATATATCCAAATATATGGTTCAAATTTTTAGAAGTAACGCTAACCTCAATTTAACATCTTTGGCATGACATAGCTATGTTGACAATTCTACATGTAAAGGAAATAATGAGATGATAGCATGCCTTTAGCTCATGTAAGGGGATAAGTATGTTAGATTGAATATAGTCCTTTAGGTTCTAACATCTCTGGAGATGTTTCCCTATGTATAAGGATGGTGCGCACTGCATATTTGAGTAGCCTCTCTTGCCTCTCAAGAAATATTGGGAAGTGGGGCTTGGACCGTAAAAATTTTGAGTTCAATTTACAACTAAGCCATTTATTATTAAGTACTTACCAGATTTAACAGCAAATGACTCACGTGTGCAAGAGACAGCGCATAGTTACTTACTCAGTAATGTACTCATTGATATGTACTAAGGTGTTATGCCAGCCCTTATCCTAAGATGGTTTAAACTGAAGTATTATCTTGTTCAATGCAGAGTGATCCTATTGCAGTAGTTTATATAAAGAAAAGAGATGGAGCGCTTGAGGAACTTGGTCGCACCGAAGTGATAATGAACTCTTTGGAACCTGCATGGATTGAGAAAATTAATGTTGCTTATCAGTTTGAGATTGTTCAGCAGTTGGTGTAAGCTTTTTGTACTTGGGATCATCCGATTTATCTTGCTCATTGCATTTAATAGTTATTTTTGTTTATAAGCATTAACAATTTATCTCAAATGTCTACACATTTTGTTTTTGCAGCTTTCATGTGTATGATGTTGATACAAGATACCACAATTTGCATGTGAAGGTATGTTATGGTTTTTGCTTGAAATTCAATTAGCTTCACCGGGTGTAGCTGAGATTTGTTCTCCATTTTGCTAATGCCTCAAGGTTTGACTATGTGATACCCTAGGTCATCCGTGTCCTCTGTTTGGACACTCAGGACAGTTTTGTGGGTTTTTTCTAAAAATAATTTTAGAATGCTAATTTGGGAGCAAAGTATAATATATGGAAACAAAGAGGGAAAAGGTGAAAAAATAATAATAATACACTCATACATAAATGGACGCTTTTTATTTGTGCGCTAAATATATATCCATATACAAAGGCAATAAAAATATATAATATATATATTTTCCGTATCATCGATGTGTCCATATCATAATTTTTTCACAATCATTATGTCCCGTGTCCATGCTTCTTAGGTTCCAAAGGTGGATTAGTGATTATATTCTTTACTAGTTTGGTGATGTTAAATTTTAGCTAGAGCGAAACTATTACTTATTTAATAATTGAATAATGTCAGTGAAATTTTATCATTGTTTTGACACTTATCTCTTTCAAAATTTGTTTTACTCTCTCTCTCTCTCTCTCCAAAGAACCATTCTTATTAGCATATATGAAATTTTAGAGTTGCTTTTCTCTAACATAAATATATTCACACAACAAGAAAGCAAGAGAGAGCTTTTTTTTTCTTTGTATTTTTTCTGCTTTTCATTTTGATTCTTAAGCTTATTTAGGAATGCTACTATTATTAATTCTCGTAACTCAAGAGATTCATCTTGTATAATGAAGGGGTCAACTCTGAAATTTGAGGATAAATTAAGTTCACATGCTTATGAGTATAATGAGTAGTGCCCAATGAGTAGCAACTTCTCTCTAGATTAACAAATTGTTAGCAGCTTTTCATCATAAGAGATGGGAAAAAATTGCAGATGATGAAGTTTCATATTTTGGTATCCTGCAGACACTGAAGTTGAAAGATCAAGAATTTCTTGGTGAAGCCAGTTGTGCTATATCTGAGGTACGTTGCCTTTGACCTAAGGGATTTCACTTAATAATTATTGTGTTCATGTGCTTTTGTGACCATATTAACTCCACATATATTCCGTTAGTTTCCTGTTTATGGGTAGAGCTATGTAATTCAATGTTGGGTCCAATTTTTGCAACATGTTTGGTTACTTCCATGATGTTCAACTGAAAGTGGCAAAGAAGTAGCATTACATGCCCATGAAAATGCAGAAAATATTCTTGGCATACATGTATTGACAGAAGTTTCTATTCTTAAAATTGTATGGATACAAACACGAGACACGGATGTGATTCGATAGGAACACCCAACAAATTTCAAAAAAATTTAAAACACCACTTATGGCAGGAACATGGAAACAAAATAAGTAGAGATTTATATATACATGAAAATAATTACAATTTATTTTTTTAACATTATAAATATTTTTATATTTATTAAAAGTAAGAAATCATTTTCACAATTTTTCTGTTTGAAAAGAAGTGTGAGCAAAAAGTTGATTTTTTTCTTAATTAGTTTAATTCCCAAACAAATTGGAAGCTTTAAGCATCTCGTAGTCCTAAATTTAAAAAGGCCAAAGGAGGAGAGATAGGTAAGTATACATCCATATTATTTTGATTTTAATAGTTGACTTTCATTTTATTTTCTTTAATTTGTCAAGTGTTTCATGTGTGTTAATAACACATGACTTCAATTGTCTGAAGTATGTGGAGTTCTAAAAAAAAATTGAAATATAATAGGATTTGGATGTAAATGAAATTTTAAATTTTTTAGACCGAACATGCTTTGGATACTTCACACATACATATCCTTTGCTTAGATATGCATGAAACATTGTAAACTTGAACAAAAAAACTTAGGATACAATGATAAAAGAAAACAGTGTAGATTTGTAGGAATTAGTATTATGTTGCCCCTTTTTAAAAAAATTATCTTTAAATGATATTTTCATATATATGATATATAATTAATTTATCAAACTACATATTTTGTGTGTTCCCATGTGTCGTGTCTTGTATTTTTTGAAGATTAACGTGTTGGCATGTCTGTGTTGTGTCTCATGTCCGTGTCCATGCTTCTTCAGTAGAGTGTTTACTATTCTATTTGAAAATTTGTCTTTGCACAAACTACTGTTTGCTGCCTTATTTTGTGGTATAGTTCACCAAAATGCTCAGTTTCAATAACAACAATAGGCTGCCTTACCCCAATTTTAACGAAATACTCACTTGATAAGCATTATCATCAGGAAAGCACCCCAGATAATATTGCCGCTTGCCTGAATCCTGTGATTTTGTTTTAGAGTGTCAATGTCGGCATAACAGAGCATGGTCATGAATTTTCTTACCTGACTTTTCAAACTACCAACTATTTTTAAAAATGTACTAGCTAATGACTCTCATATACACACCTCTAATAGATGTTTACCAAGGAACCATACTGCTACCAAACTGTTTGGCCGGAGATACCTTTTTATGGTGTAGGAAGCTATGAAGGTATGTGTATTGTAGGAATGGCAACGGGGCGGGGCGGGGCCGGGGACTACACTCACCGTCCCCGATCCCCGATGGCTGAAAAATCCCCGTCCCCGTCCCCGATCCCTGGCGGGGGAACCCATCACCTCCCCATCTCCATCCCCTAACGGGGATCGGGTTTCCCCGACCCTGAAAAATCCCCGAGCTTCAACACAAGAACAACAAATCAATATATATATCACTATGTTTTATCATCATCAACAAATACAGATTTAAATTTAAAACAAAAATAAAAATTTAATCACAGATTAGATCACGCGCGCACACACACACACACAGATCTAACAGAGACATCCATCGTGTAAAAATATATGTGGTGTAGTGGATGGTGTGTAGTGGATGGTGATAGTGGTGTAGTGGGTTAGGTTTAGTGGAGTAGGTGAGGTGGTAGTGGTGTAGTGGGTGTTGTTGTTGGATAGGGTTAGATATATTATTTTTGGACCACTATTTTGGTAATTACTTTTTCAAACTACTCTAGCTCATGCTTTTTGTGAAGTTAGCAGGCCAGGTGAACTAAAAGAAAAATTTTGTTGTTTTGTGCTGACTGATTCAGGTGGTCAGATGTTGCTTGGAGCATGCAGCTTCGGTTGCTAAAACTTTCTTGATGTCAGATTGTGTGGTTGTTGAGATCAAAGAGCCTGAGCCAATGGCTGCTGCCGGGAACCCTATGGACAATTCAGGTAGTAGCTGTTGACTTAAAACAAGTTGGACATGCATTGTTTTTACCTTCAATTTGTGTCTTAGCTTCTCTTTGAAATGAGTTTGATTAAAATAATTGCCGCCTTGTTGTCTGTATCAGGATACGGTTACTAAACTATTGTAGAAGGTGTGCTTGTGGGGGACAAAGGTAAAAGAACCAAGCCAACTTCAATTTGGGTGGGTAACAAAATGCAAAGAAGGGGGGAGTTCTTTGTTTTTTGTAATTTTAGTATGCTTGGAAGAATCTGGTGAGGTTAGCTTGTCCGTGTACCGGCTTGTAGCAGCTTGCAATTTGGATGTACAAGTTGAAATCTGAGTGCAGAAGAATAATATTTTTCACCTCTGGTCTTGGTTATGATTTCTCAGATTTATTTTCTTGACTATTTTTTTTAATTATTGATGGTTGTGGGGAAATTTGGTTGATCCAATTCTAAACTGATTTTTGAGGATTTAAATGTGCTCCTAGAGTAAAGAGGAATATATGTTCGGGTGCAGAAAACCTAAACTTCAAAATTTAAGGACTAAGGCCTGGTTTGGGATCTTTAGAAAAGTCAAAAGTTATCAAAAAAGTTAAAAAATTATCACTATTTATAAAAAAAATATAAAAAATTAATATACATAATATTAAAATATAAATTAATTTCACGTCATTTTAGGTATTGACGTCAAAGTAAATGCATATATATATATTCATTAAGTTGGATGGTAATGTTAGGTCTGTGGGGGTCTATCACAGGTATGTGTAGAAATCGTTTAATATTATATGCTTGTAAAAAATTTATGTCTATCGGATATCGCTAACTACATGATCAAATCAATTTTGTATAAAAAATGAATGGTATTATAGTTAACAGTTGACAAAAAAAAATTAACATGATCAGATAGCTATCGATATTCAATCAACGTGGTTTTTTATAGGCGTATAGTACTAGATGAGTTTTACACATTAAACGGTTCTGATTAGCAGAACGGGACTCGTGGTGAGCCCCCACGGGCCGAACAATACCGTCCAATTAAAGCTCAAAAAAGAGGCAATATTTTCCCATCTCTTAACCAGCCGATTGCACTGTCCAACCTGTACGGCTAATCACTAACTTCTCATATGCACTTATTTATACAATTTTTCGTAAAAAGTCAAAAAGTTAACCGCAACATCTATATTTTTTTCCTCAATTTTTTAGTTCAAAAAGATGAAAAATACACTTATTTAGGACACCCTAAACAACCCTAGATTGTGAAATAATTAGTTTATTGATCAAAACGGGAAATGTATCTTCTTCGTTTTTATTTTTATTTTTATTTTTATTTTTTTTTATTTTTAATAAATAAATGAATAAAATAAAATAAAAGAAAGAAAGTGGAGCAACGTGGGTGAGGTGCAAAAGGGGATGATAATGTTTTGTGGGCGGTGGAAAAAGTAAAGTGAGAGAGAGAGAGTGTTGGGCTGTGTGGGTGGAAAATAAAGAAACGAATCAGACAGCCTGTATAACATTAGCAGACAGCCTGTGTTGTTGACCACTGTATAACATTGGCAGCCTTTGAATGACTATGAAGAGCTAGACAGCCTGTGAACGACGGCGTTGCATGATACGCACAACAAATCCTATCTGTCTAGCATAATCCATATAAAATTTTCTGGAAGCATCTTCAGAATCGTATTCCATGCCCACATATGGGTCTAAAACTTCACCTCTGCCAACACTAATGTTTCCTTCAGCAGCAATGTCAACTGCCCCTTCTCCCTCGTCCAACTCCATGATTTAAGTCGCCGGAGAAGAAGAAGAACCAGTTATTGAGTGACTTGGCCCATCACCAGGGAAGGAAACTTTTCACCGGAAATCTTATCGTCGGATTGAGGCGCCGAGGAGAGAGAGAGAGAATCCTGAGGAGTAACAGAGAAGAACCAGTACACATGGAATGAACCACTTGGCCGTGGAACTGAAATCAGATTGCATCTCAGAGAAGAAGCTGGAGAATATCTGGAGGAGAGCAAACTAAAGGAATTGGTGAAGAGGTATTCCGAGTTCATCAACTTTCCCATATACCTCTGGGCAATTAAAGAGGTTGATGTGGAGGTTCTTGAAGGTGGCAATGTAGCATCATCTTCTCCAGCAAGTGATTGAGTGGACAAGCTTTGTCTGTGTATGAAGCTTTGTGTATCGTGTCTATGGTGAAGCTCCGTGTGAGACAGCAGCAGTAATAACAACAACAATAGCAACAACAAGAAGATCAAGATCAAGAAATAATTTATGGCAGCGGAGTGAAGGTATGTATAGAAAATTCTAGTGGAATAGGTTGAGGTCCGGCAGACGGCTAAGGTGAGGTTGCCGCCCGCCGGTGAAGCGCGAATATTAGGTTCTAAAACTGCTCTGATACCATGTAAAAATATATGTATTATTGATTGATATTTGTTTGATACATATTCTGTCTATTACAAATGGTTCCTTATATAGATGTAGGTGTAGTGGATGGTGTGTAGTGGATGGTGATAGTGGTGTAGTGGGTTAGGTTTAGTGGAGTAGGTGAGGTGGTAGTGGTGTAGTGGGTTAGGTTTAGTGGAGTAGGTGAGGTGGTAGTGGTGGTAGGTGATGGTAAATTCTAACACATCGTCTGGCACAGATCTGAGCGACGCCGTCGGTTGGTTCGGTGGTGGTGACAGAGATCGAGATCGAGAGTGGCTGGCGGTGGCGGTGGGTTCGGTGGTGGTGACAGAGAGACAGACCTTGTGCGGCAGTGGTGGTGATGTCGCCGTCGGTGAGAGAGAGGAGGGGTCGGGGCCAGCGGTGGTGGTGATGTCGCCTGCGAGAGAGAGAGTTAACGGAGAGAAGAACGAGAGAGTGAGAGAGAGTTGAGATGAGAGTGAGAGAGAGAGAGAGAGATAGATCTGAGTTAGAGAGTGAGTGTAAGAGCAACACAGTAAGTGATATATAAATCTAATACACTGGTTTGGTTTATTATAAATATAATATACGGTTTGGTTTATTATTATTATTATATATATATATATAAGGGGTATAAAAGTAATTTCACTTTGGGGAAATTTGGGGATGGGGCCGGGGCCGGGGCTTAAACACTGATCACCGTCCCCGGTCCGAAACAGATCGGGGATTGATTTTCAAATACCGTCTTCTCCCCGTCGGGGGTATTTTTCGGGGAAAAACCGCTCAAATCGGGGTCGGGATCGGGATTCCCGTCGGGTCGGTTTCAAATTGCCATCCCTATTGATTTGTCAGTGTGGTTGGTAGTGTCTCTAACAATGCATGTGTCCTGCCACATTTTAGGTCCATCATTTCATGCATTAAGTATGGGTACAATATTGGTCAAAGTTATGAATCAGCCTCATATAAAAAACATGAGCAAACTCTAATTGGAGAGGTATGGGGAGCCACATGCCAAAGCATTTGGACGTGGATTTTTTTTCTGGAGGACAGGCTTGTTACCTCCCATAAATTGGAAAGGCATGCACGTCCTTCCAAATTGTGCAGTAGATTCTAAGACTAGGTGTTTGTGATCAAAATATGGTGCGTCTATAATTAAATATATATGCATTTTGTTTATTTTCAAAAAGAGGCATTTCCTTGTGATTATTCTATCCGAAAAATTCTTGCAAATTTCATATATTGGAGGCTAATAAATTTTACTTCCCTCTTTTCTTTTCTTTTAAACAAATTGAGATTGTCACATTCCTGGGCTTACACCAGTATATGTCTGAATTCCCCTCTATTAACTCATGGCAGATAGTGACTAAACAAAGTCAAAGTTTGACCCTAAATCTTCACAATAAAAATGGGCAAAGAGGTCTGAAAAACTTGGGGACACTTACTGTCCATGCTGAGGAAACTGTTGCTTCAAGGAATGCTGTTGAGATAACATTTCGCTGTTCGCACTTGGACAACAAGGACCTATTTTCCAGAAGTGTATGTATATGAAGCAGCTGTGCTTATGAGTTCTATTTTTACTCTTTGGTTTTTTGGCTCTTATTTGTTTCTTTCCTTTTACTCCTTTCAGGATCCTTTCTTAAGAATATCTAGGATTGTTGAGAGTGGAGGTTCTGTTCCGATTTGCAAAACTGAAGTTGTCAACAACAACTTGAATCCAATTTGGAAGCCCGTATCTCTGACTATGCAGCAATTTGGAAGCAAGGTAAGCTTGTGAGCCTTTTCTGATCAGTGGCTAGACCTTGTTTTAGGTTTGATATCTGTGGTTTTCTTGTGTCTTTGTACCAGTAAGGAACTTAAGAACTGCCTGAATGGAACGACTATTGGGATTTTGCATCATTGACTTGGAAATGAAATGCCCACTAGAGATCATTCTAACCAAAAAGAAAACTGTGTTCAGAATCCACTTATATTAACCAATATGCTATGATGATACAAATGCAGGTTATTAATTTTTCTTTTCTACATGTTGATTGGTAACAATTCACTTGGTGCAGGATAACCCATTAGTTATTGAGTGTTTTGATTTCAATAGCGATGGCAATCATGTACTTATCAGGTAACTATTCCCATTCTCTCTTTCCGATTAAGTTTCTTGTTTTATATATTTTCATTTAGTTATTCTGGTTGGGTCATAAATACTAAATCTGCAGTTTGTTGTTAACAGTAAACTTCAGAAATCGGTGGCGGATCTAGAAAAACTTCAAAAAGAAAAAATTGGTGCAAATTTTATTTTTCCGCCTTCTCGCAACCGTGCTCATGACAAGGTATTTGTTTCTTACTTGGAAATAGTTTTTAGCTACACATTACATGTACCTGATGCCCAAAAGCCCTTCTATTTGTCTATCTATAGGTACTAAAGGGCCAACTGTTTGTTGATGGCTTTTGTGAGAAGAAACTGTACAGTTTTCTTGATTATATTTCTAGTGGATTTGAGCTGAACTTCATGGTAGCTGTTGATTTTACTGGTAATCAACTTTCAACATTCTAGAAAACTACTTTATGGAGCCCGAAAAAGAAGAAGAAAATAATTACTTTGTACTGCAAGTTGCTTGTTTCATACACTGAAGTTTATATTTTTTCCAGCTTCAAACGGAAATCCTCGAAATCCAGATTCCTTGCACTACATTGATCCTACTGGGCGGTTGAATGCTTACCAGCAGGTAAGGTCGTGTGACCATGGATGTTCTCAAATCTGGGATATATTTTTTTCTTCATGTAATTGGCATAATTAGTCCAACCAAACACGATAATTTAGTCAGATCGGAGATACCTTATAGTGTGATCTTTAGCATAAGTTGCATAACTGATATTTTTATGGCTGTTGCATTCAATAGAATTTTATAGACTCTTGAATTTTTCCAATGGGGATAACCACCACACCTTGTGGTGCGAGAGGTGACGGGGTGCCAACCCATATTGGTTGGTCAAGGGGTTGACTCCCATACCCCTTCCTACAATGATTTAAGGATTGGC